GTGGAGAAAAAAAGGATTTTTAAATTACTATTTCAGCATAGTTTTTTTCTGGACAAACTGCGGTAGAAAGTGCCATTTCTTGGATGGAAAGAGAGACTGATCCTAACCATGGTGGTCGAAGATCCCAGTTTTCACTAGAGAAGCCCTGTTACATTCAGTGCTTTGGCCAAGAGCCAGCTCAGATAATTATACCTGCTGACCTAAATTCCTCCTACTATCCAAAACTGTTGTAGTAATGGATTTTAATTTCTTAGACTAAGCCTGTAGTCTGGTTGCAGAGCAGCTGCACACAGATGTGCTTCTGTAGCCCTTTTATTTTCTTCTCAGACATGCTGAAGAGCCCCAAAGAACACTGAACTCTGTGCCATGTCAAGGTGAAGAGAGAGCAAAACAGCACTTTTATCATCATCTGTTGCAGACAAGTCTGTCAATTTGTCTGTCCATTTTGCTCTCAGCTGTCCCCTTGTTTCCATTCTCACTGCAGCACCAACACAAGAGATAGCCAGTACCCTCAGTAGAATCAAAGGTCTTTAATGGAACCATTCTCTACTCCGCAGCTTGCAAGGAAGAAAGCAAATTCAAATCTTACTCCTCTCCTTCCTTGACTATTGTTTTCTTTATAAACTTATATTACCCACTCACTTTGGTCGTTTTCTATACGGGGTGAGCACAAAAAGGTAAGCTCTAGAATTCGTGTCTGCCAGAACTGTATGAACATAACGGTGATGCAATTGCAGTCACATTTTTGAGAGAAAGGGCACAGCTTTTGGGGTTAAACTTATGAAAAAAAATAATTCATTTTTATAGCACAAGCTATAGCTTTACTCATGTTCCCTAAATCTTTTAACTTCGACTTTTTGCATTGTACAGAATTATTCTAGTTTTATTCACAGGTCTTGACAGCATCAACCTACATTCTTTATCACAAGGAGAAGTTATTTCACCTCTGTGAGTGCAGTATTTTATAGTATCCTATACAACAAATGCAATGTATTTAACTAGCTAAACAAAACCATTTACAGGCCTTATTAGACACTGCTCAAGTAAAACTTCAGCTGTTGTACCAAATCCTGAGTTTGTTCTTAAGATAAGAAAAGCATTCCCTATTACACAGCATACCATGTCACTGGAGCCCATAGCAGCAAATTTAACTCCAGTAATATCAAGTACTGCTGATAGGTAAAAATTAGCTACCACTAATCACCAGTACATGTATGAGTGTTGTGAACCCATGATGTCACAATACTCTAATACTCTATTATTCTTGAGGAGAAAAAAAACACCACCAAGGAAAAGTGACCGTATCCAACATGTGCTATCTACCTAACTCACAACATTTCCAAGACAAAGATTTCTGGAAGTGCCGACATTACAATCCAAGAAGAGAAAACACTCTGTAATAGCCTATTCTGTTTATTACTGTCAAAACCAGTGATTCCATAAGTGAAGCTGGAAGCTTTTCTGCAGATGCCCAAGCAGAGTATTCCTAAGATCATTCAGGATCTGTTTGACTGGCAAAGGGAATAGAAATATACTGGTGTTATAAAGTGAATCAGATATTACTGAGAGTGCAGATACAGTGTGTAGGATAAATAGAACTAGTTTCTAAGAACCATTTCTTAAAATTAAAGCACAATTTAAAGATTTTGAGGTGTGGTGGTTTTTTTCTTTTTACTAATAGGATTAAATCTAATTGGTTAATTTTTGTGAAAGCATTATTCCTAAAACTTAAATGATGCAAATAATCTGTTCTACCAAAGATACCATTACATTGGCTATTCATAATACAACAGCTGTTTTGATGCTCTGTCATTACATCTGGTACACTTAAACTTTGCAGTGTCTGAATGGATGGCTTGTTCATTCTGAGAGAGCTTGCTCTTCTGCAGTCATGACATAGTAATGTATTTCAATTTGCAGTACTATATACCATGTTATCTGCTAGTAGGATATGGTAATTCCATACTCCTTGATGGCTCCACAACAGCTTAGCATACCAGTTTTTCCCTGGTCAGAGAGCTAACAAAACAGGATGACATAAAAAAAAATTCTTCTGTACACTACAGAGGAGGAGCCTTGTAAGCAAGCAAGCACATCTAGTATTTATAGAATGTTTGCATTAAATGCACTTGACTTTAGGAATCCACACAGCTCAAATGTTGTAATGATGGGAGAGACTACTTGCTTTAAAAAGCATTTAAAAAAAAATTCACGGAAACTTCAATTTTGAACTTAACTTTAAAGACTGGCAAATCACGGAAACTTCAAGGGAATTCAATTTTGAACTTAACTTTAAAGACTGGCAAAATAAAACAGTAATCTTGTTTTAGTGGTTGAAAAGATTTCATACTGATTTTTCATTTTTCTTTTAGCATAATCCTCACAAAAAAAATCACAATGATAAACACTGTCACCATTAAGAAAAATTGGCTCCTGATAGTAGAGAGGATACAGCTTCACAAGCTAGTGTTAAATGTACTCATGACTTTCCAGTATTTCAGCTCCCTTTTTCTTATTTTCAACTTTCCAAATAATCTGCCTGGAAACAGGCTGCATATCTATCATGTTTGTTAAATAAAGATAGATAAACACATCTTCATGTAAGAGAACAAGCAGTCTCAATGTCCACCCTTGCTAAATTTTGAAGGGGAAAATACCATTTAAAAAGAAGTTATGCAGGAGTAAACTACGAATTAATTTCTCAAAGGGGAAAAAATATAAATAAATGAGACCTTGCCCACTGTAGAGCTACGTATTAGGAAGATACAGGAAGTATCACGCTCTTGGGGTATAACCATGTAATTAAGAGTGTTTAATAGCAAGCAGGAAGAGGGATGTACACAATGAGAAATTAAAGGATATCTTCCTTAGAGGGATTTTTAAATTAGGAAAAAGAAACATATTAATTGCAGCTTATATGCATTCTGTAAATCCTGTGGATTTATCTAACACAAAATCAGCCAACTGGTTGAGTTGCTGTGTTAGGTCCTTGTTAGGAGTATGATGAGATTACAACATGCGCTATAAAGATGCTAGTGCCAGTCGGTCCTACATTGCAGATACTGCTCTCCCATAACAATCTTGGGAAAGGGGAATTCCATACCACCCTGGTCAGATTTTAGGGAGGAGCATAAAGCAAAGCAATACATATTGTTGAAATCTTAACAGAACTTAGATAGCAAGAATTATTTTTTTTTTCCTTTCCTGTCTGAAGAAAAAATTTTCATTACAAGAAACTGATAACCAGGTGTTGTGTGCTTTACTACTCTTTTTTTTTTTTTTTGTGGAGCACTTCCTTCTCACTTTCCCTATGCTCTGAGAAAACAGTGAATCACTAGTAGTCAGACCTTATTTTGACCCTGCACTTGGGCAAGGCTGAAGGTCTACTTATGTAGAAAGAAAAGATTTGAACAAGGAAGTCACAGGTCAAATTTATTACGTTGTAGCAGGGGTCTGCAGAGAAATACTATGCAGAAGCTGCCTACATATACTTGAACTGAATGTCTCCTTTCCCAAATGCTAATCTGAAAATGCTAGCAAAGGTTTTAAAAAGTATAAATATGGTCACATCAGATCTTTTGCACACTTTTTTATTATTGTACTGAAGACAATTTTTACTTCAAACAGAATTGTTAAATATAATATCTTTGGACTCTACTAATTTTTCTAACTGTCTTCAATTGTTATTCTGACTGGAAGAATGATGGTCACCTCCTACTGGATTTATTATCACTTTTTGACACAGAAGTCAGAGGGATGCTATACACTTGCGCACACTCAGATGGACCCATTCTTTAACATTTGGATTTCTAGCAACTAAATCTCAATCTTAGTGTCTGTTTTATATACATCAGCTACAAAGTGCACAAAAATAATCCATGCACTTTTGCCCTCCCCCACCAACACACACAATTATGATCTCTTCATTAAATATTTTTAAATTTCCATTTCCTTTGTGACTACTTATTTATATAAACTTATTCTACAAATTGCTGTGAAGCTTTTGAACACTCCTACTACAGTCAGAATTCCTCTCAAGTCTTAACTCCAAGTAACAATTTTGGACTAGATCTTGCTGCTGGGTGCATGGGAAATAAAACTTTCAACCAAAAAAATGCTGTTGTGTATACAATGAAATATATTTTCAATATAATGAAGTTGCTTTAGGAAATGTCGTGGTCTTAATAAAAAACGAATGGAAAGAAAAGCCCCTGAAGGGGACCTACAGGAAAGCTGGAGACAGACTTTTCACAAAGGCTTGTAGTGAGAGGACAAGGAATAATGGCTTCAAACTGGAAGAGGGTAGACTTAGGTTAGTCATTAGGAAGATTGCACAGGGCAGTGTTCAAAGCCAGGTTGGATGGAGCTTTGAGCAACCTGGGCTAGTGGGAGATGTCCCTGCCAATGCAGGGGTCTTGAATAACATGATCTTCATGGTTCCTTCCAACCCAAACCATTCTAGGATTCTATGATAAGTCAACAAAACTTTTATAATTAGTATGTCAGGATTAGACCTGTAGTCAATACATGTAACAAGGTAAGCTGAACAGGCAAACACGTTCCAGCTGTTCAGCTGGAAGTACAGCATACTTAGGATAGAAGACAAGTAGCCCTCCAATCCCACCACAACTGAGCAAAGGAAAAGTAACACCTGAAAAGATAATTAACTCCATAAGAACACAGCTCATTTGCCAATTTAAAACAATGAAAATAAATATTATATGTGTAGAGCAAGTAACCTAGCCTGGGCACTTGTAAGTACTTTACCTATAAATATTTTTTTCTTTAATGATTTAACTTGCTGTTACTGCATTTGGCTTCCTGTTAAGTAATGGATAAAGTAAGCACTTGTCAAGATCTGGCTTCACATGTTGAAGATAAAATGACAAAAAGCCCACAAAATGCAGATTCTGAAGATCAAAAGTTCCCTTGGCCACAACAGACTGCATATGGTAAAAACAGGAGGATAAGAAACACTGCCTCAGAGGGAGCAAACGTACCGTCAAACAACCCATCAGGCTCTGCTCAAATGGTCTCTGGAAGGCTCTGGGGTCTCCACACCAGTCCAGAAGCTCTGTTGCTGCATTATGGAAGTTTGCAGGGTTCTGTAAGTGCTGGAAAGGGAAGATGAAACAACATAGTTAAATAACATACACAAGCACACTTTTCTATATCACATTAACACAAAGTTTAGAAACTAGCAACAGCATATTATTTGGAAGCAGGACTTTACATTGCACAGCAAACACAGAAAACACTACTTCATTTTCATTAATACTTACAGAGATTTACCAATTTTCTGATACAAACTCATTAGTTAGAGGTGATCTGTAGTTCAAATACCAGAGCCTCCCTGAATTCTTTCCTCCATAACATCAGCTTTCCCACCTGCAAAACGCTATGGATTCTGGTTGGAAATCAAGACTGTTCCTAAATACAAATTGAGGGAAATTTCAGTCCTACATTCAAAGCCTTTGCTTGGCTTTATGGCCCATTGTTGGGACATTCCAGCATAGCTAAGCCTTCCAACAATCAAGATTTTTATCCTTTGCCTGCCAGTCAGGAGGCAAAAATTACAGTCTCAGAAAATACTAGTGGCAAAGCAAAGTACGCTAACTACCATTGATTCTTCCTAAGAATTTTGGCTTCTGCTCATCATGATGTACCATCACGAGTAATCATGGATGAATTGAGTTCAGGATGATGAAAAATGGAGGAGAAATTCTTGATGGAATTGTGGTGGGATCCTACCATGACCAAAAATATTTTCAAATGCACAGAAAGCATGTAGAAATTTCAGAGTGGAATCTTGCCTCTCTCCTGGAAAGACTAGCACAACTTTGAGAAAAAAATCTGATTATGCTTTGTAACTTTAATGGGCAATGCAATTTTAAAAGTTATATTCCTCTCTGCCTTGGTATCTACCAATCTGTAGTCTTGTCTCCAAAGGCATTTAGTTAACCTACCTATTAATCACACTGTCATGCCTCACTGTGCTAAACTGTCAACTATTCCAACATTTTACCAGGAGCAGAGGGAAGGCACAAGAAAGAAGGAATACAACTTATATAAACAATATTGCTACTAAATTCTTCAGCTCTAGTGATGCTAGATGTTTTAATGAAAGCTACTGAAACAAAAAGAAGACTGTCTTTAGGAAATGTTGGTATCTTTTTAACTATTAGTTTTATAATTCTTGGGATTGCTGAGAAAAGCATGAAAATGAGATGAGCATTTTATCTGGAAGGCACAAAACCCAAAGGCCTAATTTTAAAAATAGTATCTGAATGAGTTGCATAATTTCAGAAAACATGCTCATTTCTAAGCATCTGGATTAATAATGATGTTCACAACCTATTTTGTCCCTCATCTCCACATATGATAAATGAATTAAGAAAAAGAATTCCTCCCATGCCAGGTTTTGAGGAGTTCCCAGACTGTGAACTTTTGGCTCACGTTACTGTAATTCTTATTCAGCAAAGGCTCTTGGTCAGAGGTCTTGTTTTAACAAGAGATGACTGACATGTGGGGCATGGATTTTTAAAACAAAAGCAGAATTTTAAAAAGCAGACAGGCATTATACAATGCAATTTTCTTCCTCTGCCTTACCAGCACAGACTATAGCTCACGCTACCATCCAGTTTGATAGCTATACCTAGGCTGAATTTCAGAACAACAGCTCCTTGCCAGGTGATCCTCTAGTTGTTGGAGTTCCTGAACTATTGCATACACAAATTAAAGAGAATAATTCAAGTAAATAAAGAAGCCCTATTTTAAGGTTTCTTGAAAAAAAAACCCAATCCTATTAACAGCGCCAGCGATTTGGCTTACAAATCTTGCAAGTAAGAGGGAAAACAAAGCCTTTTGAAGGCTTCATTTAATCGTCCAGAGAAGTGATTGCCTGACACCAGATCTCTCCATATATGCTGCTCCTTGCACACACCACCTTCCTCTGTAGGGGAAACAAGTTGGTTCAAACCCCTCTACAATAGCACATGTAAGCTCTGCTAGTATCGAACATGATTTCCAGAAGGCAGGAAAGGCACGTAAGTTCTGGTGCCCTCAGCACAGGAAAGACATGGAGCTGTTGGGAGAGGGTCCAAAAAAGAGCCACCAAGATGATCAAAGGCCTACAGTACCTCTGCTATGAAGACAGGCTGAGAAGAGTTGGGGCTGTTCAGCCTAGAGAAAAGAGAAGGCTCCAGGGAGACCTTATAGCAGCCTTCTAGTACCTGGAGGGGCCTAAAGGAAAGCTAGGGAGGGACTTGTCACCAGAGAGATAGTGAAAGGACAAGGGGTAATGGTTTTAAACTGAGAGAGGGGAGATTTAAGTTAGATATCAAGAAGAAAGGCTAACAACAGAGAAGCAGAGCAGGGTCTGAGCCATATACTTAGTTTTCAGTTTAGCACCACATAATGCTTATTTCTACTTACTATCACACCACTGAAAAGCAGTATCCCTTCCCTTCTACCTGAACCAAAGCAGGGGTGACCTTGACTTGATACGATTTGTTTGTTCTGTAACTCTCCATCAAGTTATTTCACTGCACAAAGACTGAACTCCAAGGCACACTATTATAACCCGGGTTTAAACATAAGAGGGGATGCCGAAATCCTGACTTCCTAAATGCAACTACATAACTGGAACTTGTTTAGGAACCCATTGGACAAGATAAGCAAATCTATTAGTTCTGTTATAGCCTAAAAAGCCTCAAATAAATGTTAAGAAAATGTTGTCAGGATACCAGTGGTTTCCATCTCTGTGGAGTAGAATCCAGTTGTTTCTGGGACAAGAAAAAAGCTGGTCTTGCAGGCGCACGTCTAGTAATACCACATGCAGTTCTGTCTGTAACATATTTCTCAATGCCTTTTTCCTTTTTAATATTTTTAAATTAAGGATTTGCTCAGATTTTTCTTTTTTGTATTAGAGAGCAAGGTTACTTTTCTAGAAATCAAAGAAAAGATCCAGAATGAATCAAAGCATGAAGGCAGGTGCAATTCCTTCCCTGAGTTACACAGTAAGATATTCCAAATGCCTGCTATGACTTTTTATTTATTGACAGCTTAAACACTGCACCTAGGGAAAAAAGACCCAGTATCATTCACATTCTCACAACAAAGAGCCATCTTGAGAAGAATATTACATCTACTATATTCAACAAACAAGAAACGGAAGAGATTTGCTTAGCTCTTGATCCAAGAACAGAAGTACAAAATAAAGCTTATGCCAGATCCATCTATTAGCTTTAGTTGTGAAGTATCTCCCATGCATGGCTCTGTCCCCTTCAACTGAAATTATTGGCATAATTTTGACAGAAGCAAGGCGTGTGCCTGAGGAGTCAGGTCTGAAACAGGGCTTCATGTAAACAAAGAAAAAAAAATCAGGTAGTTAGTAGATGGTTTAGAGAAAAGGTGACAATGAATCAGATTCTTGCTATGACACATATCGTGGTATCTCTTCAAAGCTATTTGTGAAAGGCCAGCTTCACACCATGCTTGCAAGCAATGGTGTTTTCAACAAGTGGAGAGGATTTGTATGAATAAAATCTGGAGCAGAGATTAACTAAGCCAATGAACTGAATGAATCAGTTATTTACCAGAATTGCTTTCAGTATCATATGCTTTTTAGAAGGCTATTAGTGAAATGCAGCAATTTCCATTAATTCAAAACCTAATACAATTTTCAGTGTAATAATTTATAACTCAAAACCCCTAAGATTTTCTAAACCTGAATGGAAGAGAAATCACAGAAATACTTGATGCATGTGAGTGTACCCTTATTGCAGGGATCACCAGGTGGTGCTTTGAAGAGAGTCTCGCAGAGTCGTTAATTTTTGGTCTTGGAAGGAATCTTGTGTTATTTGTAGCACTTCAATTAACAGCCTGGTCTAGAGAGATGGAGAAAAAGCAAAGGACTTTGCTCTCAACAAGAGTCCAATAAGAGTGAATTGTACCAACAAAGCCCCTTTCTGAGGACTGGACTGACATTTGGGCTGGATTCCAGGGAAGACAGAAATGGCTATCTGCTGCTCATGACCACCTCTGGCTTAGAGGTTTCATTTACATGAAGAATAAACAATCTTTTAAATTCAAGTGGATGATTGGGCAGAGGATGCCAGCACAGTAGGACACCCAAGATCACTAGATTTCACAGCAACTGTGTGCCTGTCCACAAGCTTGTAGTCACCTGGGGGGAGGGAGAGGAGAGGGAGTGACAAACATTCACACCGGGAGTTACACAACAGCTAATATGTGGCAATTGCAAAATACAGTCATTTATTCCAGTTGTTACTCCCTTCCAATTAGATGGTCATCAAAAAGTTTTGATATGCAATAAAACTCTGCAATGGTCCCAAAAGTATAAGCTTCATCCCACATACGAATTCATGACCCTACAAGTGAAATAGACATATGTAATAGAAATTTATTTTTTTAAAGCATCCTAAAGCACAATTGAATACTTTCAGTCTACACACCCTTATCAAACTGGATGCAAACCACTTCCTGCAACCTAAGACTCAATATGATTTTAGAGTAGGAAACCAACGTTCCACATTGAAATATCGTCAGGACAACAGCCATATCTCCTCTAAATACAGAGGACTGCAACACATATGTACCCTTGTGAGTCTCAGGCAGAGAAGTCTAGTAAGTAATCGAAGAGTAACAGTCAAAATTAAGTTCAATTACAGAGAGTTAAAGTTATCTCATGCACATATCAAGAAATGCTAACATGACAACAATGGTATGGAACATGAACCATTTAAACATGGAACTCATATTGTTCCAATTATAGAAAATAAGTGTAGAATTTCAATTTAGAAATGACGTGTCTCTGGTGGAGGATATTTTTCTCTCTTTTCTGAGGAATACATCAGACTGAAGGCACAGACCTAATTTGCCACAACTTAACCTATTCAAAATGAGATGTCATGCAAATAAGTTTTTGAGCAGCAATCTACTTAACTATGCTAAACAAGTTATTGCATTTATTTACGTGGTATCGCACCAAATTATGAAGCCCGACTCAAGTTGTCTATTTATTTTGCCGAGTTACATCTGCTCTCTGTCTCACTCCTTGATTTAATTGAGCTGCTGAAGATAATAAAACTTA